TTGGTGGGGATAGCAAATAAACAGATAAACATATTATATGTCAGGCATGGATAAGTACTAAGAAGAATAATGGTTAGAGTGGCATGTGTGTGTGTGGGGGTGATGGGAAGGCTGATGGGGATGGTCAAGGAAGGCATCTGATAAGGTTTTTTTTTTATAGCTTTTGGAAAATTTCAAATATACATGAAAGTAGAGAGAATAATATAATGTACAAGGTGAATTAAAAATTTTTTTATTATGGAAAAATTGAAACTTAAGCAAAAATAGAGAATAATGTAATGATGTGAGTTTTTAAAAGAAGATTTTTTATTTTAGAAAATTTCAAAGAGAAATAAAAAATAGTTTAAAGAACCCCTATGTAGCCATGAATTAACCTCAACAATTACCAGCTTGAGCCAATCCTGTTTGGTTATTCCCCAGCCCTTCCTCCCCAGTGAATTATTCTGAGGTCAGTCCCAGCTATCTTACTGTTTTATCCAAGGTGGGTCTGAGCAGAGGTGTGAGTAGAGGGAGGACGTAAGGGAAGGTTGTTCCAGGCAGAGGGAGCTGCAGGGGCAAAGGCCCTGAGGCAGGAGGGTGATCGACGTGTTTCGGGAGCAGCGAGGAGGCCAGTGTGGCTGGAGAGGGGACACATGAAAAGTGGGGGGAGATGAAGGCGAAGATGTGAGGAGGAAGAGCAGACCATGGAGCAGAAAACAACAGCTCTGGATCTTAGGGTGACTGGGAAATCCAAATATGATGATATCTTAAGAGTATTGATCACAGGAATTGCCTTTGCCTGGGAATCAGGGTCTCGGGTTTCAGACCCACCACTTAGCGGCTAAAGGAGCTTGGGCCAGTCCCATCCTTTCCTTATCCAGAAAGTGAAAGAGGATTTACCTAGAATGAGCCCTGTTTGCTCCAATTATCTAGCTGTCATTCTCATCGTCTCACCTTCTTCTTTCTTTTTTTTTTTTTCTTTTTAAAGAAAAAGTCTTTCATTTAATTTAGAAAGTGTTATACATATAAAGTTAACTCAAAACTTGGGAGTAGTTTTCATTTAATTTTTCTCTTTGATTGTTATTAAACACGTAAAGAGAAAGCCTATGTCTTTATAGGGATTATAATAATCGGATGTGGCGAAGACTTTGTTCATTAGTTGGGATATGGTAGAGAACAAGTGGTTTTCAGACTTGGCAACGGAAGTAGAGCATATACCAAAGATGGAAGTACAATAGTCACCCCTTGTCCATGAGGGGTGTGTTCCAAGACACCCAGTGGGTGCCTGAAACTGCAGTGACAATCTCACCTTCTACTTGTTGGGCATTTACTATGTGCCAGGCACTGTCCTAAAATGATCCTATAACTGGCCTCTGAAAGAGTTGTACAAATGAGGGATTTGAGGCCAAGGTCACTCAACTGGGAAATGACAGAGCTGGGATTTGACCCCAGGAGGTCTGAGCTGGGTTCACCCCACACTGTTAACCATTATACCACACACCCTCTTCAGAGTATGAATTCTTTGTCTCACAGAGATTTTGAGGCCAACACTGTATCATTCTAAGACTCTCCGCCTTGGTAAGATGGAAGGATGGGCTGAGCGGCAGGGCTGAATGGAATTTGTGGATCGGCCCACGAGTTCTATTCAGCCCTAAGCCCATGAGTTCTATTCAGTTCTAAGGCATCGTTTGAGGATTATGTGGGATCTCTTTTAATCCAGGGAAATGTAGGGAAGCCTTCCTCTCAACCTCCCACTCAGTCCTAGTTCTTCTGAGTTGCTTGTTCGCTGCTTGTCTGAGACCATGTATCTGGAAATGTTGCTGTAACAGACAAGTCTGTTGAAGTGGTCGTAGTCTCTCCTCACTTTCCTACATCTGCTGTAACTGGCCTTCACAGCACTCTGATCTTTTTCATCATGATACCACAAACTCTATTTATAATACTTATTTGCTTGTTTTTAACTGTCTTCCCTTCCAGCTGGAAGCTCTTTGAGAGCTTCCATGGCCATATTGTTCATTGTGGTACCCTGAGTGCTCTATGTTTGTTGAATGAATAAATGAAGGAGAGCTTTCATCCCATGCTGTGACCAAAGACTCTTGGAGGGAGTACAGGATCTGTTCCCCAAAGTCTTAACTTTTTCATGACCCACAGTTGAAATTTCCTCTCTGAAACCTAACATTAAATGGGTCCCTATGTGTGAGGGGAAGTTTGTATAATGGTTACAAGTGTGGACTCTGGAGCCAGGTTGCCTGGGTTTGAATCCTGGTTCTGCTCCTTAATGCCTGTGTGACCTTGGGTAAGGTTATTAACCTCTCTGAGCTTCAGTTTACTTCCCTGTGTAGCAGGATTGTAATAAAACCAATGATAATCAGATAGTGTTGTTATGAGAAATGCATAGAGTGTACCTGGTGTGTGGTTTTACCTGGACAAAAAATTAGTCTTTAACTTGTAACAATCAGTGGTCTAACCTGTGACATGTGGGCTAACCTGGACTCATATATGCAGTCTAAATAGTAACCAATACTCTTATCTATGACTAGTGGTCTAACAAATGACCAGAGACCAAACTTATAACGAGTGTGGACTAACCTGTGGCTTAACTTGTGACCAGTGGTCTAACCTGTGACCCATGGGCTGCTCTATGACCTGTGGTCTTCTTCTGCATAGGGAGAAGTGAATTCAAACGGTGCTGGAATGGCCAAGGGGCCTGCCGAACGTACTGTATGAGGCAAGAATCCTACATGCACCTGTGCCCGGATGCCTCCCTGTGCTGTCTCGCCTATGCACTCAAGCCTCCGCCGCCACCCAAGGCTGAATATGCGTAGCTGGTTCTAGGGCTGGCACCCTTGTTCTTCAATAAAACACGTGCTGCCAGCTCCCTTCTTTCTGTTTGCTCACCTGGACTCCCCTCCCTCCAGGAGAGGGGGCAAGGTCCAGGGTGTGGGAGGGATGGCCGGTGGAGGGAGGTTAAGGTGCCCGGGGAGAGTGGGCATTAATGACCATCGTAAATGGTTCTGGCCCTGGCCACATCCCTTTCTCTCTGTCCAACTCCAGAAAAATTACTCAACCTCCGTAAGCCTCCTCAGTCTTTTCATCCATAAAATGGGGATAATTATAATATCAGATTAGACTTTCTAGAAGGATTGCCAAAAGAAGGGCAGAGATAATAATAAGAGTTAATAATGAGTTGGTAATAACAAAAGTTAGTAATAATACAGTCAATAATAAGCTTCTGGCGTTTAGAGTGAGATGCTGCATTGGGCTTGAAAGGCAGGCCCTGTTAAGAATGGAAGGATTCTTCTATGTTGCTTTATCTCCTATTTTAGTGTTTCAAGAGTCTGTGCAGGTGAACAGGACCATAAGAATTTTATGAAAGCAGTTTTCATGTAAACAGGAAGAGATGATAGAGGGAAAGTCTGCCTCTTGCAGGCCCGAGGAATTTGGGGGACAGAAAGGCAGAGAGAAAACAACAGCAGGATAAGTAGACATGTGATTTAATTACCCTGCATCAGTTAGGATTGTATTTGGCTGAAGAAACAGGAAACTCAACTTGCAGGGGCTTTTTTTCCCTCACATAAAAAGAAGTCTGGAGGCAGGCAGCGCCATGTCAGGGCAGGCATCTGTGGGATCTTCTTGGGTCACAATAGGGTTACCAAAACTCCAGGCTTCATGTTCTTGTTTAAAGCAGGAAGGGGGAAGCTATGTTTCTTTCTTTTATCAAGAAAGCAAAAACTTTGTCTGGAGGCAGGCAGCGCCATGTCAGGGCAGGCATCTGTGGGATCTTCTTGGGTCACAATAGGGTTACCAAAACTCCAGGCTTCATGTCCTTGTTTAAAGCAGGAAGGGGGAAGCTATGTTTCTTTCTTTTATCAAGAAAGCAAAAACTTTTCTAGGAATCCCCCCCCAACAGATTTCTGCTTACATTTCATAAGCCAGAATGGTGTCAAGTGGCCACACCTGCTGAGGGAGAGATGGGGAAAGAAAGGATTTAACTCTTCCAGCCTCTATAGTAGATTTGAGTTTGGGAGAAAGGGAACTGGGGAAGACCCTCCGTGTCTGCCCACATACTCCCCCTATTCTGGGACTGAGACCAGAAAGGGGCAAGAGTGGTGGATGTGTTGGGAGGAATGCCAAGGGCAGAGGGGCTCTTGTCCGCTGTCCTTTGAGAGTTTCAGGGAAGAGACTGTCCTGGGTAGCTCTGGCCTTAGCCCACATCAGAGAGTGGGCCCTGTGTGGTCAGGCTAAGAAGGGGCGGTGACATCCAAATACCTTAACCTCAGAAGGGATGCTGATGAGGTGGCAGGAGCAGACTCTTGGACGTTACCTGCTGTCCAGGTGTTAACCCTTTAGTTTCTGGTATGAGGGGGACCTGGGGATATGCCAGGGGCAGTTGCAGTGGAGGAGTGGGTAGCCAAGGGACTTGGGGAGCAGCTACTTACCAATCAGGATGGAAGCATTGAATTATTTTAGTCACGAAGTGCACCACCTGGTTATCAGTCCTGCTTCCGTACCTACCTCAGTTCCTGTGTGGTCCTGATGGTGAATTGAGAGCCAGTGAGCTGTTTCAGGGCCCCAAGTGGTGGGGACAAGCTGGGAGTGGAGGTCTAGAGCCTAGAAAGAGGATAGATAAGAACCCCAGAGAGGTCAACAGAGCCACAAGACCTGATGCGAGGTGACATTAGCCTGGTCTCACCATTAGCCCTCAGAGAGTCAGAGAGAGAGCAGTTCACCAGCAACTGACTATAGCTAGAAAGCCAGTGGCTGTTCCTAGTGACAGGCCCAAGCCACCCAGGCCCCAGCAGATGCCAGCCAGCACATGTCTGTCAAATCTCCTCACCCTTACCCCAGCCATCATATTTGGGAGGGGCAGAGGAGGAGAGGAGGAATCTGAAACACTGAGCAATTATACCAAAGAGACCAAGCCTCTCTGAATCCAAGAAACCCCAGGAGAATGTTTAAACTGTTGGATTAGAACAAGTTTTAAACTGGACCGAACTAAATTTGGTTCTGCACTCTGACCCCTCCCCCTTAGTGGTTTTAGTAAGAATAAAGCAGCTGTGTTTTCTTTGCATAGCCTCAGGTGTAGTGTGAGTGGCTTTGTGACCTGGCTGCAGTGAAGATGGTGATGACTTCTGGGAGTGGGCAGTCACACGCCAGCTACGTGCCACAGGCCGTGGAACCTGGGGCAAGTCACTGCCCAAGTCTGATGATCAGATTTCTTCTCTGCAAAATGGGCCTTAATAACAGCTCCTCAGGGGGTAGCCGTGGGGTCAGATGAGATCATCTGGCACGGGGTAAGTGCTCAGTAAATGAGAGCTGCTACAGTTGCTGTCACCTAGACTGAGCAGAAGGCATGCCACTGGCCTTCCTGTCCTTCAACACGTAATTTCACTTTCTCACACAAAAGCTGAAAGAATAGTACAAAAAAATTCTCATAGACCTTTCACCCAGTTTTGCCAAATATTAGCATCTTACCACCTTTTCTTTCCTCTGTAAATATATTAAAAAATATAATATACTAAAGTTAAAAGAAAAAAAACTAGAAAAAAAATCATATACATCTTTCTGAACTGTTTGAAAGTAAATTGCAGACACGATGCCCCTTTATTCCTAAATACTTCAGTGGGTCTTTCCTAAAAACAAAAAAGTTTTGTGATATAACCATACATTAACATGAGCAAAATTCTAATGTCTAATCTTCAAAACTTATTCAGATTTTACCAGCTATTCCAATGAAGTCCTTTAAAGCAAAAGAAAATCCCTGGATCACGCATTCCATTCAGGTGTCATGTTTCTTTCATCTCCTTTAATCTGGAACAGTTCTTCAGTCTTTCACGACATAGACATTTTTGAAGAATCCAGGTCAGCTATTCTGTGGAATGTCCCTCAATCTGAGTTTGTCTGATGTTTCCTCATGATTGAATTCAGTTTATGCATTTTTGGCTGGAATACCACAGAAGTGATGCTGTGTTTCTCTCAGTGCATCATACCAGAGGTGGCCAGTGGCCTTCTAAGTGCTGAAGCCAAGACAAACAGACTAGTCTTCTGAAATTTAAACCTCACACGAGCATAGTTGTTTCCCACCTAGTGTCCAAACAGACCCTCATCTAAGCTAATATCCAACCTCCTAAGCCATAAAGATGTACCCAACAAGCCAAAGAGACAAGGCAATTCTAGGGTAGAAGCTTCTTCAAAATAACTCACAGAAGAGGCTTGCAACCCCAGAGAGGGCTTGTCTAAGGCCATACAGCTCCCAAGGGACAGAGCCAGGGCTTGGACATAAATCTCCAGATGTCAAGTCCAAGGTGGGATGATAACCACACATTGGTAAGACAGGCCAGAATGAAGGGGAAGCACTCGAGGTGTGCAAGGTGAGCCAGGTTGGTGGGGGATGCTAGAGAAGGGATTTTTGCTCTGGATAGGGGCTCAGAAGTACTATTTCGGTGCATAGACACTACCCAAGAAGTCATTGAATGGCTGAGGTAATAATAATATCAGTTACCCTTTGTAAGTACCAATCACTTTACATCATCCCACTTAATTCTTACAATTACATGCTATTGTTATCCCTGCTGTTTCTTTAAGGTAACTGAGGCTCTTAGTTAAGCAAGTCGCTCAGATCATACATCTAGTAAGTGGTGAAGCTGGACTCTACCCTGATCCTCTTGCACCCAGTTTTATCTCCCCAATTACATGCTATTGTTATCCCTGCTGTTTCTTTAAGGTAACTGAGGCTCTTAGTTAAGCAAGTCGCTCAGATCACACATCTAGTAAGTGGTGAAGCTGGACTCTACCCTGATCCTCTTGCACCCAGTTTTATCTCCCAGAGTCACTCTTATTTGTACTTTTAAAATAACAGTTTTTTCTTACTGTAAAAGTAATACATGTTCATTGGAAAAACTTAGAAAACAGAGAAGCACAAATGAGAAAACTAAAATCATGGTATTTTCACTGCACAGAAATTTCCACGAATAAAAATATGTAAAATATGACTTAAAAATAAAATGGAATCAAACTGTAGATAGTTTGTGTCCTGAATTTTTCACTGGTCAACATATCATGAAAATTTCCATATGTGCTTAGATATTTTTCCAAAACATAATTTTTAGCACTAAAATGCCTGCTGAAATTTCTTTAAAAACTTCCAATTTTTATAACTCAAGTGGTATGTTTAAAACACATTGTGGGAAAATAAGAAAATATGGATAAGCCTCAGAATATTCACCACTCTTTCATAATTCCTGTTAGCACTTTGGTAGATATCCTTACATATATAATTAACATTTTCACATGCATCAGAGATTCTCCTACTAGAGGAGTTTCTCTTCCTCTGATCAGGTAGATACCTTTGGGCTCACAAGGAAGAGAAAGAACAAGGTGGTTACAACAACAGATATTGTAGGGAGTTCCGGGTGGGATTGGGTGCCTGACTTCTATCACCCACCTCTTCCCTATATGGGTTTTTGATGGCAGAGTGTTCAATGGAATTACTTATTATACCAGGGCTAGGGATAAGTCTGAGAGCCAGGCAACAATCACGTATGGCCCAAATTATCCTTGGGAACTGCTCAAGAAGGCACCGTTTTGGAGACTGATATACACAGTAAGTTTTCTACTGTCAATAGAACACATCATATTTCTCTGGTGATGCACCAAAGGAAGTAGTTGGTTATGTTTAAGGGCCATTTTTTTGTGTGTGTGAAAAGTAAGTAGTTTTTCACAAAGGAATCACACAAGGCAGTGTGATGCCTTCACTGCTGTTTGCTTTCCCTGGACTGGAAGTAATGTAATTCCCATCTCCCATTCACTCAGGCACTGGCTCAAGGATGGATTCCTCTAGCTTATTTGGACTTTTATTCCTCATATTTGCAAAA